CCCCCCCAATTTCAATAGATGTACATAGCGGGAACGATGGTCTTGGACATATCTCTGGACCGTGTGGAGTCACCCCCTGTGACAGTGTCACTTGGTGCTGTCCGTTCCCTCCCACCCCCTTAGTGACGCTACTAGTGCCCACTTGGACTTGCGCCCAGGGGCGAGTGCCCCCTCTGCCCCACCCCCACCCCCACTGCCTGGGAGGATTCCGGTTATTGGACAAGCTCAGGGGACTGAGACAGAGCCAGCTCTCTGCAGAGGCCTCAGGCAGAGGCCTTCAGAGGTGGAACATGACAGAAAACCCTTTGTCCTCCTAGGCTGAGTAATGGCAGCGAGTGGCTCTTCCATGGCAAGGATGAGGTAAGACCAGACGTGGCTAACAATGGGGCAGGAGGAAGAAACCCAAGCTACTTCCCTCAGAATCGGCAGTCCTAGGAGCACGCCCCCCAGTCTTGGCGGGGCCCTCGGGCAGTGTGGGCTGTGGCGCGCCTCCCAGCTCCGCCCTGACCCTCCCGCCCCTCAGGAGGAGATGCTGTCCTGGCTGCAGGGCGTGAGCACCGCCATCAACGAGTCCCAGAGCATCCGCATCAAGGCGCAGAGCCTGCCCCTGCCCTCCATCGCCAGCACCGACGCCAGCCTCGGCAAGAAAGACAAGGAGAAGAGATTCAGCTTCTTCCCCAAAAAGAAGTAGCAGGCCGCGGGCGCCCCGCGGGTGGGACCCGGCGAGCGCCGCGGGGCGCCCGGAAGCGCAGGGCTGAGTCGGAGACGCACAGAGCTCCCGCGGGCTTGATCTCCGCCGCGGCCCGCGGCTTGCGGCCTCCGTCCTCCTCCTGCCCGCTGCCCGGGCCGCCGCTGCCTGCCGCCTGCCTGCTGAGTCGCCGGGCCGGCCCAGGCCCCGGGCCCCTGCTGCACCGCAAACGCTGCCTTCGCCCGCCCGGCCCGGGCCCCCGCCCCCAAAACCTGCCTCAGTCCCTCGCCCTCCCGCTGCAGCTCCGGCCCCCAGGGAGAGGGGCACCCAGCTGCTCAGAGCCCTCAGCGCCTCCAGACCTGATAACAGGAAACGGTTCTCTGAGGCACACGTCCGCCTCTCCTCACCCCTTCTCCAGAGCTGAGGGGCGCCAGCCCCGTAGCCCCCTTAAAAGCTGGAGAAGGCTGATGGTGTTCCTCAAACGCTGCCCACTCCCAAAACAAGTCTTGTTGGGGCCACCTCCCCTTGGTCGCAGCTAGGGAAAGAGGACACTGGAAATGCCTGACCTGCCCCTTAGGGCTCGGGGAAGGAACCTTCGGATGGGCCCACAGAGCCCCAGTTCTGGGCCAGGGCTGAGGGGACAAGACGGAAGGCAGGGCCTTGGGTGCTGCCAGCTTCTTCCCCGTGGGGCTTCCTCAGAACTGGGTTTCTCACCTCAGGGGCCACCACATCCCTGCCTCCCACCAGAAAAAAAAGGGGGGGGCACCCTCCATGGTCTGTGGGTTCAGACTGCAAGGAGCAACCTGCTGCCTCAGAACCCTTTGCTACCACCACAGGTGGTTGAAGGAGGATCAGAAAGCTCTCAAACCATCCCTCTTTTAAAACTGTGGTTAGAGCTTAGGGCTCGGGGGTTCTGAGACCTGAAAGAGGGACAGATAGGTCCCAACACTGCCTAAGGCTCTGCCTCTCAACTCTGGGACCCTCCCCCAACTCCCAGTAGCTGCCAAACCAGCACTATATGACACAGACCTAAGACCCCTTAGGGAGACAGTGCAGGCCCCCAGATACAAGATGAGAAACCCCACTATCTGGACTTGTTAGTTGCTGATTCCAACTCATGGCGAACCCCACGTGTGCAGCATAGAACTGCTCCATACCAGTTTTCAAAGCCGTGACCTTTCGGTAGCAGATCACCAGGCCTGTCTTTCAAGCATCTGGAGTAAAGCACCCAAAAGCCAAATGCCTACCTGTGTCCTGTCTGCAGCTATACCATCTTAAGGTATTGGCTGGACAGAGAGCAAAGCTTATCATCCATCACCCAAGGGGAGCAAACATGGCCATGCCTGGGTAGATGGCATCACCATCCATGTGACACAACTACCCCTGGACAAATGCTGGGACCAGAGCCATGAAGGTGTGACACTCCCTGATCAGCTTCTCCTGAAGGTCCTGGCCTTGAATTTTGGGGATCACGTGGGTACAGAGGTCACCAACCATTTATCCCCCACACCCATCCCCAAAACCAAAACCCATTGCTGTTGAGTCAATTCTGACTCATAGCAACCCTATGGGACAGAGTAGAACCGCCCCATAGGGTTTCCCAAGCACAGCCAAAAGGGGCTCTGCAAACTACAGCACCAGGAATACCTTTCTTCATGCTGCTAAGGAGAGACTACTGGAGAGACCACTCGTTCCACGATCTTCCCCACTACTCCACTTGGAAAGCAAAACAGTTCCAGCCCAGCATTTTTTTCTGGGTTTGGGTCCAAAAGACTAGTCAAGTTTGGGACAGTAGGCATCTTCACCACAGACCATAAAGGTTCCTGGGGCTTGGAGCCTGAAAGGACAGGGGTCTGCAGTTGCTGTTTCCATCACCCTCCCCATGGGAAGGGGCCTTAGACACCCTGAGATGATTTGTTGGGAAGTGGATAGGGCTCAGGTAGAAGCCACAGGGGCAGGCATCCAGCGTTACAAGGCCAGCCAGCCCAAGAACCCTTAGCTAGTGCAGATCAGCACAGGCACAGCTCAGAGATCAATACCACCTGGTGGCCTGACACCATGTCAGGGTGAAACCAACTTCGGCAGACAAGGACCACAGGAAGGAAGATGTTATCTGATGGAGCCTGATTTCCCCAGATCAGATGCTCCCACCTCTGTAACGAGGGTCTTCATTGGCCTCAACAAATCTAACCATGCTGCCCTCTTTGCATCAACATGGAACCTAGTGTGTACCATGCACCAGCCTCTTTCTACACCTGGGGAAACCAAAGCATGAGGCAATAAGGAAGGCCTTTGGTACACTGAAGGGCATATCCTGCTGTGGGGCAGAGAGCACCTTTCTTGCTGAAGAGCAGATCGTGGCAAGCAGCACCTCCCTCGACTGTTAACCTGGGCTAGTCTTTGCGGAACCAAGAGACAAGGGTCACCCTCCCCCCTCCATGTGGGTCAAAGTGGCACCTGAAGTGAGGAGTTTCCAGCAGGGAACTCCACAGACCGAAGAATTAAAAGGTCCCAATAGAAGAGCTAGGATTTCACCACCCCAGGTCCCTGACGGGCAAGGGCAGCCAGCTGCACGTGACCCACCATCCAGCTCCCCCCGCATCCCTCCCACATCGTACGGACCCCAAGACACTCAACCAACTGGACTGAAACAGCAGTGGCCAGCTTTGGGCAACCTGTGCCACCCTGTGGCTAAGTTCCTCGTACCCTGGCAGTTTCTTTTTTTCCCTTACATTTTCTACTTTGCAGTCTTTTAACAGTATTTCCAAACTAGGCTGACACACTCCAATCTGCACCAGCATAACAGGCTTCCTCCCCAAGGCAGTTTGAGAGGAAGCTCCTTCTGGGCATGGTCAGGCAGTTCTCCTTCCCTCTCTCCTTCCCTTTGTCCCCTGGCCTTGATTCACTCTGGCTGAGAGGTAAAGGGTCCTAGGGCTTCCCTCCCCTGGCCCTACCCCCACAAGCACACAAAACCAGAGGCCTGTGGAAGGCTCAGTCGCCCCTCCATACCATTCCTCCTTCCTACCAGAGGGCAACCGGAGTCCCCTAGGCTGGCCCTGGATCTCCCTCCTCCCCTCAGTGGGAGGGGGTGGAGATCCAGAGAAGGAAGAGGCCAGCAGACCAGAAGGCTTGGTCCTTGGACAAGCAAGCTCAGGGAGGAGGTGGTTGAAGAGGAGTGCAGCCCCGCTGGGCACAGACCATGCATTCTGGGCTGGCCCTGGGGCCAACGGGGCCTCATCCTCCACCTGCTCAAACGTGCTTCCACCAACCAGAGGAAACCCATTTACTAGTTTTTCTAATAAATCAATAATGCTCCACATTTCTCTTGTGGTTTCTTATTTGACTAGCCCTTGCTTTCCTTTGGAGTCTCTAGGTGGTGCAAATGGTTAAGCACTCGGCGACTAACCGAAAGATTGGAGGTTTGAAGCCACCCACAGTCTCCTCGGGAAAGCCTGGCAATCTACTTCTGAAAGATCACAACCATTGAACACCATACAGAGCAGTTCTACTCTAACATGCATGGGGTGGCCATGAGTTGGAATCACTCAACAGCATCTGGTGTGGGCTTTTTTTCCCTTTGAACTGATCAAGGGCTGGTTGAGCACAGGGAAGGGATGAATGAGCAAGGAAGGTCCTGTGTCGACAGAAGGACAGTCAGGCTCTCTGGCTTGTCCCTGCGGGTCTTACGGGATGACTCCACTGGTACCCAGGCCCAGTGCCTTACCTGATAAAAGATTACTTATTCATGCATTCAACAACCTGAGGGCTTGCTGCAGGGCAAACACTTTGCTAGGTAAAAATCAGACCATGCCTTTCCTCACAGAGCTCAGGAAAGAGATCATCTAGGCCAGTGGTCTTACCCCTCACTGGTCATCAGAATGTCCATGCCTGGGTCTCATCTCCAGAGGGACAGGTTCCTTTGGTCTGGGTGGAGCCTGGGCATTGTCACTTTTTAAAGCTCCCCTGATGATTCTAACGGGCAACCACGGAGAACCACTGACTGGTCCAACGCTCCCAGATACAGCTGGATGGTTGCAAAAGGATTACCTGGAGAAGGTGTTAGCTACAACTTCGCAGGCCCCATCCCCTAAAGAGGCTGAGTCAGAGTCAAGGAGCCTAAGAAGCAAGGACTCATCTATCCTCTTCAATTTATAGATGAGGAAAGAAGAGTAGAGTTTAGGTGACCGAGCTGCTTGGTGAGAACCTGGGTCTCCAACTCTCACTCCAGCACTATTGTTCAGTGTTGTATCCAGTCACTCTCCTCAGTGACTGAAGTGATCACAGAACATTCAGTCCAGCTGGCTCTGCCCTGCTTGGCGTCTGCTAGAGAGAGGCCTCTACTCTCCTTAGATCTTTCCTTGACCTCATGAGACTCACTGGATCCATCTTCAGATTGAGACTCAATGGGTCTGTGGGAACACCCATGGGGGAGCTCTACTTCCCGAGCCCTGCAGCCCCCACCCTACTCCAAGAAGAAAAGGGACAAAACAAGGCTGGTGCACCCTGGAAAAAAGGCAAGAAACCCAGTTAGAAATAGTGAGGGATTCCTCACCCTTTTGAATCAAAGACTCCTTAGAGATTTGGAGGAACACTGAGGATCCATCCAGAAAATACATGTGTACCCTTCACCCAATGTTGCATGCCACCTTAAGACATTTTTAGGTTGCAAGTTCAGAATCCTTGTCTTCTAGGATGTCTCCTGGGAATTGAAGAGGGAGACTAGAAGGTACCAGACACTGGAAACTTTTGCCTATTAGAAAAATGTTCTTCTTTCTTTTAAGTCCAACTTTGGCCCTTTGGAAAAGAGCTAAAGGCCCTCCACCCCAAAGAGGACCTCAGGGCTGTGGAGAGACAGCATTCCATGGGAGTGGGAGCAGCAGAGAACAAGTTCCCTCCCACACGAGCACCCTAGTACCTTGTGCATGCTTCACGAGCAGGGATGACAAATGAGTGCACGTGGGTGAACAGCTCACATGTCCCAGCCCTGGCCCATGGATCTCACCCCCCTGCCAGGCCCCAGTAAGGAGGCCGCACACAGGTCGGTTGGTCAGCAGTGGTTATTGCACCATCGGCAAATAATGAAATGGGTGTACATTAGAGACAACCACAGGGTCAGCCAGACAACCCTCAGAAGTACCTGAACTGAGTCAATTACACTCTTAACAGGAGAGGAATAAACAACAGAAGCACATGCTCACACACACATGTTCATGGGTGCACAAACATACCACAAAATAGAAAGCAATAAATTATTGGCCTCGTTCCCGCCTGGATCCTAAGAAAAGGCACAGTTAAAGAGGAAAGCCTCCCCAGGCCACTTGCCACACCTCCCTTGGGTGGGCCACTCCATATGGTGGTGGCCAGCCAACACTGGAGGCCTGAGCCGTGCTTTTCTCTCCCTGGGAAGAGGTGAGCTTAAATATTTGGCTTCTTACCAGAGAAGAACTATATACAAGGGAAACAGCCACACTGGCCTCAGAGGGGAAAAGCGGCTCATGGGGCCTGTGGGAAGTTGTCCCGAGCCCCAGGGAAGCACCGGGGCGTAGCACAGGCAGCAGGTGAGAACAGGCACCTGCAGAGGACACCCCGACACGGATGTGTTCTTCAGGAGAGAGTAGAGGGAACAGTCTTTCCGAGGGCCCTGGGTGGGGACTCATGTGAGCCAGGGAGACCCAGGCTTGTAAGAAAGCGTGTGGGGTTCTTCCCCATTTCCCTTCCCCAAAGAGTCACTGTCAACCTATGGAGTTCAAGGCCTGGAATTTCTCCCTCAGGTTTCTTACTCTGCCCTGCTGGCTTGGGTCCACAGGGTCCCTGGGCCCCTCTTCCTTCAGTCGATACTCTGCAGACTCCTGCAAATCCTGGCCCTGTCCTACCCCAGCAGCCAGCAAGCTCAGTCCCTGCCCACTGCCCTCCTCTAGCCCCTCAGGCTGGGGCCCCTTCTCCATGACAATCACCCGCTGGCTGTTCTCCAGGGTGAGGTCCGCGGTGACATACAAGGCCTCGCCTTCATCCAGCCCACCTTGGAGCGGCAACCCAGAAGGCTGGGGCTGGGCGGCCTCCCCACCTCCATGGCCTCTCTTGGTGTTCAGGCTGAAGCAGCGGCTCACCCTGCCTGGCAGGGGGGGTTCCACCATGTTCTCGGGCACTGAGTGGCTTCGGTTAACAGGCACTGTGCGGGGCCGGCTGCCCTCGGCCGGGAGTACCTCATTGTGGGAGGCATACTTGGAGCACAGCTCTCGGACGTCAGGCCAGCTGAAGGTCTCTGTGTCGAAGGGGCTGAGGGGGCTTCGGGCGGAGGTCCGGATCCCAGGCAAGGTGGTCCTGGGGCTGGCAGCAGAGGGGCTGAAGGAGAAACGCCGTGGTGAAGTCTCCCTGGCAGAGCAGGGCTTGGGGGGGCTGTGCTCCTGGGTCATCACCGGCTCGTAGCTGAGGAAGGACAGCACGGGCTTTCTCTTACCTGTAGGGGAAAGAGAGCTGCCTGAGTTACTGGGTGGGAAGGGAGAGAGGCAAGAGAGGGCTCTGGACTTCATAGGCAAGGCTGGCCATTGGGGTTTTCTGTGTGATGGGAGAAAAATCTCATTTACCATGCAGGGCCCCTTTATCAAAGCAAAATGGGAAGAATGGAGAAAAGGCAGTGAAAAGGGGGCCAAGATTCAAAGGAGAAGACAAGAGCTTCGGCACCTCCAGATAAAGAGGGGGCTATGGCCACATTTCCTCCAGAGGCCTCTGCTCCATGGGAAGGGCTGGGGGAGGGCAGTGAAAGGGCTTGACGAGGGTGCAGGCCTCACAGGGTCAGACTGACTGCCGTGGCACAAGGGCTCACCTTGCCCCCTCGGTGGCTCGGGGTCCAGCCTCATGTTTGGCTGTGACTCCTCAGAGGTAACCCAGGAATCAACTGACTTCCAATTGGCTCCTCTGCCCCTAGACATGAAGGAAGGACCCACTCCGTGCCCCAAGTCATACCTTTGTCACGCAACGGCTCTCCAACCTCCTCCTGTAGGCAGGGAATGGTGGAGCTCTTCCCGTTCTTCTCAGGAACTGTCTTCTCCCACTGCAGTGGCAGCCTGGCCATTGCTGACTTATTGCTCTTGATCCGAAGGCTGTACTGGCGGGCCAGCTGGTAGACCTTGTTCTTGACACGCTCACTCACATGGCTGTCCATCACGTGGGAGAGCTGCACAATGCGGGGGTGCAGGGGGGCCACCAGCTCTCCCTGGCCGCTGCTGCTCAGCTCCTTCACCAGCTCCTTCAGTTCCCGGGCCAGGTGGGCCGGGCTGGGACGCTCAGTCGGGGAGGCGCTCTCTGGGGAAGCAGTGGTGGATTCCTCCGTGATGGCACCCAGCTCGTGCTCCTCCAGGATAAAGAGCGGCTCATGTAGGTCAAAGCCGTTTGCCTGGCCCTGGCCTGACCCATTCCGAGGGCTCCCTGCGGAAGACTCCATGCCCTCCCATATCTTTGCAATTTCCGAAGACGGACGGAACTCAGCATCTGTGATGGGGGCTGGGTCCCCAGTGCATGCCTGGCCTGGTCCTGGGAGGTCAAACAGGGCCCATGAAGCCGGTCGGGACCCTGCCTGTCTCTTGTGTCCCAGCGGAGCCACGGGTTCTGGGTCTGGCCTGGGAAGGCTATTGAACCTGGAGACTGAGTTTCTCACCAGCCCTTTGGGGATGTAGGAGAGGCTCTCCCGGCGCCGGATGCTAAAACCTGCATCATGGTGCTCTGCGTTTTCATAGTAGCTCTTGATTTTATCCAGCAATAGCCGGTCTTGGGTGGAGAGCAGCAATTCCTTCTTCTTGCAGGAGGACTGGTCAGGCTCAGCTAGGCAGCCTGGGCTTGGAGGCTCTGTCCCGTTGATGGACGGGCTGCTCTCTGCAGCCACCCCCACACTGGTGACCACTTCTGAGGGAAGCTGGGAGCTGAGCGAGTCTGTGATGCCGCTATACTGGGCCGGGCCCTTCTCGCTCCCCTCAAGGCTGAGCATGCTGCTGCTGCGGCTGACCGGCTGTGGGGTCTCGAAGCCACTGGACTTGCCATCCTCCAGAGCCAGGCTGCTTCGCCGAGAGAAGCTGCTGACGAAGCGCTCAGCAATGACACTGGCCTGGTCCAGCACAGAGGGTGGCAGGAGGCTCTCAGGCTCCTGGGTGACCCCCATGTCCTCCTCCTCCTCACTGCTCAGGGCCTTTAGGTCCTCAGAGCTCTCGGCCACCACAAAGCCCACCATGTCACCCACGTGGTCCACATCCAGCAGCTCCTGGTGGGCATCAAGCTGTGTTTCCAGAACTTCTGGAGACTCTGTGTCAGAGGGCATCTCCTCAGTGCTGGGACTTTCCACAGCAGCAAATACCTCCTGCTCTGCCTCAGGCTCAGGGTCTAGCTCAACCTAGGACACAACACAGAGAGCTCACGTGAGCAGAAAACTTTCTTCATGGGATCCGGGGAATGAGGGAATGGCATGGCCTTCTCCAAGCCCAGTGAGGGGGCCTGCAGTTTAGGATTGAGGCAACCAGAATGATTGTGACTCGAAAGTGGGCAACAGGTCTTCAGAGAAGAACATGATCTTGTCCCTTTGTCACCCTGCAGCTGGGGCGTAGGCCATGTCCTCAAACCCAAGGAAAATCCTAGGAGACTAGACAGGGCAGGATGGCAGCTGCTCTCACTGACAGCCTGCCTGGGAACTACAGGGACAAGGTGGGGACACACACAGGGTCAGGCACTGCCCTCGTCTCCCAGGGGCCTCTCTCCCAGACACCTCGAAGAGCCAAGGCACAAGGACCCTATTGCCTGATGCTGGGGCAGCTCCCTAAAGCCCCAGGGGTTCCCACACAGGGGCTCTGGGTTCAAACCCAGGCCTGAGCAACATGAGAGGTGGGGTCCCAACTGCCCTGCAGGGCCAGGTCCTCTCGTGTGGATCAGGGTCCTGACGGCAACACAAGCACATTCTGCAATCCTATCAGAGGGTGAGGCTAGGAATTTGGCTCCCACCAGGCAGCCTTGGAGTCGGTGGGCACAGCCCAACTCTGCATAGGCACAGCCAGATGGGCAGGGAGGGAAGCAAGTTTGAGGATTCCCTCTTGATCACCTTGAAGGTGCTCTGAACCATAAAAGTGGCCGGCACAGGCAGCGTGCGAGAGAGGTCTTTGGAGAGAAGAGAAAAGCAAGCACTCTACATTCTGAGAAATCAGCCCTGATCCCATTTGTTCTCATCCAGAAGCTGCAAAGCAGGACCCATGATCTGGATCTGCTCTACCCAAGACAGTAGCCACCAGCCACGTGGCTTCTGAGCACTTGAAATGTGGCTAGTCTAAAATGAGACCTGCTCTAGCAGTAAAATGCACACCAGATTTCAAAGATATCCTACCAAAAAAAAGGAAAAAAAAGTATAAAATGTGCCATCAATAACTTTTTATATTTATTACATGTTGAAACAATAATATTTTAGATAAATTGGGATAAATAAAATATACTGTAAAATTAATTTCACTGGTTTCTTTTGACATTTTTAATGTGGCTACTAGAAAATTAAAATCACACAGGTGGTTCACATACTATGATTACTGGAGAACACTGCTCTGGACTCTCATCCAATGTCACCCAGGTTTCTCAATCCTGTCCTGACTGAGAGGCCCACCTGGGGTCTAGCCTTAGCCTCATGGCCTTTCCTTGTAAAGCGAATGGCTCAGCTCCTCACAACCCACAGGCAGCATGGAGTGGTGGGAAGAGAGGGAGCTTCTGAGTCATAGACCCAAATCTGACCTCAGTTTACCCCTTGGAAGCTGCCCAACATCAGGCAAATCACTCAACTTCTCTGAGCCTCTTTCCCTTCCAGGGCTGCGGCAGGGAATGGAAGGCAGGAATAAAACGCAGACACGTAGGAAGCTTCCAGTAGATAGCAATACCCTACCTCTAGGCATATTTTAAATGTCTGACATGTTGGTGGGGGCAGGGCCTTGTGTCCTGTACAAGGTGTCTGGCTAGGGGGCCTGAAATCTAGCTCACTTCCGCTATCTGTGCCCCTTAGCACGGGGCTGCATCTACCCAGAGGAAGGGTATCTTTTTCTAATTCACAGAAAGGGGCTGTCTGCTCACCAAGCTGTGCGCCCAGAGGCAGGCAGGCTTTCTGAAGGAGTGAGAGTCCTGGAGGCAGGGGAATCCTTGATCCCAGGGGCCCAACAGGAGAACCTGTGCCTGAAGGTCCCACCTGCAGATCTGGAGGTCTGGGTTCCAGGTACCTCAGCACCATCCCGCTCCCACCTGCTGGCTGTCCAGCAGCCACTCACCTCTGGCAGAGAAGAGACTGTCTCGAAGCTCATGCATTTCTCAGCAGTGGTTGGAGACTGGTTGCTGGGCCTTCTGCAGTCCTTGGGGCCTTCAGACTCCCTGCGCCCCTTCCCCTGCAGCAAATAGAGGCAGTCATCATCTCCCAGGACAGTTGGGAGCCGGTCCCTTCTGCATCCAACACACACAGCCCCTCCCCAGCCGCAAGGAGGGCCCTGGGCTGTGCTAAGCATCAGCCTCAGATCTGAGCCATTCCAGAGTCAAACTGGACAGCAAGGCCTGGGGATACAAAAATTCTTGCACCAAGTGTGTGGTCTCTGGCTACACCTTCAGAAAAGCCCAATCCACCTTCCCTTCCAGGCCAAGTGGACTTGATCCTTCCACCCCCACCCCATCAGACATGCTCATTGGGTAGTACACTGGTTAGCAGCCAGTTCTGGAGCAGCACATGCCAGGAGCTCACCAGGGCATGACAGCAAGTGAGGAGGTTAAGAGTGCTGACAACAGCAGTACAGGAACCGGGCAGAGGGGCAGGGGGCAGGGAAGGAGACTCTGGACAGGCATGCACGTGCCAGGGAACATGCAAGGAGGAGGGGAGATCAAATAGACACCTCACCATAGCGCCCCGAGAGAAAAGTAAAGCGTTGGCCCGATAGTGCCAGCAGTGGAGGGCGGCCAGCAGGGAACTGGCAAAGTCAGCTACCTGCTCCGCCACTGCCAGGCTTTCCTCCTCCTCCTCCTCCTCCTCCTCCGAGCCTGGGGGCTCCGGCCTGGCCCCCTTCTCGATGCCTTCATGCCTAGCCAGGTCCTCCAGAGAGATCTGAAAGGCCTGCTCTTCCTCCTCCTCCTCCTCCTCCACCACCTCCTCCTCCTCCTCTTGCTCCTCCTGGGCAGCCCCTTCAGCCTCTGGCTGCAGGCCCCGAGTACGGGGGTGCTGCCCAAAGTCCAGGAGAGTGTTGGCACTGCCTGCATGCTGTTCAGAGCACAAAACCCCTTCGTGACCGGCCTCTGGGCAACCTCCCCTCTTCCTGCCCGTGGTAGGGGTAGGGAAGCTTCATGCCGAAGGCCACATCTAGACACCCAACCCCTGCTCTCCACTGGCGAGGTCAGCGAGCAGCAGGGGTTCTCACGGTGGAAGGGCTGGGACCTGAGAATACTGTGGGGCCTGGTGAGGAACTCAGGTCCCCTAGAGTCCTGCCTGCCCCAGAGGGAGGGGCAGATGAGAGAGGATCCAGGCTGGGAGGCCACCACTGGTGCTGTTCCAGGAAAAGGGTACAGAAGGGTCAACAGGGGCAGGGGTCGAGTCTTATTCATCTCTAGTGCCTCATACATAGCAGGTGCTTGATAGGTATATGTGTTGAATGAATGAGACAATGAGCACTGAAGGGACCAAGGGAAGTCCCTCCCACTCTTCCTCCACCAGTCCCCTCTGCCCTGGACCCTGGATGCCACAGGCCTTACCTTCATTCCTCCTGCTCTGGCTGCTGACACCACTATTGAGTCCCCAGCACATGAGGAGAGAGGCCGGTGAGAAGAAACCAATAAGCAGGAGAAAGAGCCTCTCTACAGAGGCCAGAGGCCCAGAGCCCTCACTTAGCCTCCTGGGTTTTTGAGGGAAGGACTGGGAACAGGGTGGAAGGTGTGGGTGTGTGTGGGGGGAGGGGGCTGCCTCAAGATGCCCCCAACAGAGGAGACAAGGGGATGGGACCCTGCTGCAAGGGGGTGGGACCCTGCTGCCAGGCTCTTCTCTCCTCAAAGGAGGAAAGAGGAATGAATAGAGGCAGAGTCTCTCTCTAAACTGTTCTTGACAATCCCCCACCCAGCTCTGAGAACTCACTAGGAAAGGCTGGCCAGCCCCCTCACGTACTCTCACCTTTCTCACTGAGTTGCCTGAGCAGGTGTCTGGCCGGCTCTGAAGAGAAAAACGAGTTGGCAGAGTCAACAGAGGCCAGGAAACAGCTGTGCTGGCCCTGGTCCCAAGCTCACAGCACCAACAGCCTATCACCAACTCAAAGTCCACTCTGGCTTGGCCCCCAGCAGCCCTGGGGCCTGAGGGGGGCTGCCCTCCACTGTGCCACCGAGTCCCCTCACACCTGGCTGACAGAGCTAGGCCAGGCCACTCCCATCCACCTCCACTCTCACCCAGCCCAGAGGAACACTGCCCACAATCCCTGCTCCATGCTGCCCCCTTCAGACCAATCAGCATCAGGTCCAGAGGTCCCTGGCTCCTCCTCAAGCCCCACCTCCCCCCTGCAATGAGCACATCAGCATACTAGCTGCACCCACCACCAAGCCCCCTCACAGCACCACGGCTGGAAAGCAGAGGTCGCACCCGACTTTCTACGGCCCTTAAGGCCTGGCACCATGAAGCCCTGCTGCCTGCTGAGGAGTGTTGCCCAGCTGTACAGGGGCTGACCAGGCTCTGGGGACAGGATACAAAATACATCCATTAGGCCGATGGTGTCAACTTTTACCCCAGCCTTTCTAGGGACAGACCTGAGATAGGAAGTAGGGATAAGAGGACAATGTCTCAGGGACCTCCCTCTACAGAGCCCTTGCCAAGCCCACCTGGCATTAGGTGGGAGGCCTAGGGATAGCCACTATGTTCTATAAACTTGGAGCCAGAAGGGACGTCTACCGAGGTCTCCTTAGCTGTTCCTGGGCAGGAGAACATAATGAAGAACTTTTCTTCTACTGAGGAAAGTATGCACACATACATACACGCGCACACACACAATTTGCATCACTACAAGTAAACATCCAATTTTTTAAAGTAAGAAAAATAGAAAATGTTCTACTCTTCACTTTAAAACTTGAAATCAGGAATATTTTTTAAATGACAATTTAAGATATAACAATAATACTGTACTTATTACCAGCATACGTACTGTCCATCTCAGCTCTCTGAAAGTAGGAAGCAGAAAAGGTCTCCCGGCAGTCAGAGTAGCTAGCAGAGTCCAGGCCCTGAAGCTCCTGCACATGGCCAAGTCCTCCCTCTCAGAGCTCCTAGTCTATCTACTCTGACACATAGTCCCCTCAAGCTAGATTGATTAGAAGGGCTGCTACAGGCAAACATGCTAAGCCCAATGAAAGTGAACTCTTTATGGTGTTAGGGAAGAACTGTAAAGAGGGGCACACACCTCAAATGCAAGCTGTCTCTATGGTAACCCTCAGCCCCCTGACCAGGGCCCTGGAGAACCCGGCCAGCACACGCCATAAGTGATGCCAGAACACAGACTCCAGGAAAGGGAAAGTTCAACTATTGACAATGTTTTGGAAATAAATAGTGGTGATAGTTGCATTTTTTAAGGGAAAAAAAAAAAAGTTCAACTGTGGTTAGCATCCACTATTTTAAAAGGCTTAACAGTTTGAACCGTATTTTAGAAATATGTCTATTTCATAAAGGTTAAAATTAAAAAACAATGACAACTACTCCTTTAGTGTTCACAAGGTAAAACCTCAGGCATGTGCAAGTTTCAGCTCTCTAAAATGGCTCACTTCCCAAGTGCCTGGATAGCTAGTTTTGATGCTGATGCTATGACAGACAGCATTACTATTGTTATCACTACATCGTCACTTACTGAACACTTCTATGTGCAAGAAGCTTCCAGTTCTAAGCTATGGCAAGTGAAAGATGTTATTAGATGAGATAGGAAGAGAAGGTGAAAGAGATAAGAAGAGAATCATAGAAGGAAAAAGAGGGGAACAAAAGAGGGGCAGAGACTTACAAAATAACACCCCCAACCTCAGGCTTTTAGCATATGGCACCAAAACACTTTTGGCAACCATAGCGAATTTGCCCAGGGTTCAAGATCCACCCCGAGCAATACCAAACAAAACCAAACCAGAAAGCCTTTCCAGGCTGCTCAGCACCAACTTCTAGAAGACCAAAGCACAAATCCACACAGGTGCTCAGGGGATATGCAGGTTATGGCCAATCAAAGCCCAACACACTTGTAAAGAACCAAGCTAGAACATAGCTCTCAATCACTCCAAAATTTTTCTCTCCAGGGGTCTTTAAGACAGTCCTTATCCCCAACTCCCACCTTGTGTACACATTCGGCAGGCAGATAGCTTAGGCCAAATCTGTCACTGGCCCTCAGATCAAATGGGAGAGTAAAAGCAGAAAACACACACACTCCTCACCATAAGAGCTAAGAATAAAAGCAAGGTTTCCTCTTTCTAAACAGACGATTCATTCCAAGAACATAGCAACAAATCCAGTAATGGAAGAAAACCCAGGAGAGAAAAATGGAACTGTCCTGAGACCCAAAGTAAGTATTTCCTGTCTGGATTGGATGCCACCTTGAAGTCTAACTTGTTTTCCCCATGTCCTGTTTCTGCTCTGTTGTTTCAGAACTGGGCTGGGGACCATTCATGATGTTCAAGTAGTTACTCCCAGCTGACCAGGTATTCCAAGTGGTTAAAAAGAGGGAGATTTAGATTGCAGGGGAGCCAAAAAGGGGTCCCAACACCCAAGTAGACAAGTATCTCAAGGCTTGAAAAAGGTGGGCTGTCCAACCTCAATGGTAAAGAAAGGCCCAGAGGTGCCTACTGGGAGGACAGCACAAGTGCAGGGAGAGGGTCCTCTCCAGGTGTCCACTGACCCTCCCTCCTGCCCTTTCCCAGGATTTCCAGGGAGGTGAGAGCAGCAGCCCTGCCTGGTCAAGGGTCCTATGAAGACACCTCTGCCCATACGGGCCCTCCCCTTACCAGATTGCCGGCGCCCTTGGCACATGTGGGTGGACACTTCGTCCTGAGAGGACCAAGCCTTCTTCAACCGCTCTGGGCTGTAGCGGTACCGGTTGGGATCTGCACACAGGAGAGACAATTGGGTCTTCGGCTTCCTACAACTGTCCTTGCCCAGACTCTGCCCATTCCCCATCACACCTTGCTGGCCACCCCAGCTCCACGCGCAGAAGCCTCCAGAGCCCCCTCCTCTTTCATCTTACATCAGTGCTGTCTGGGGGCTTTCAGCAGTTAGAGCCCCACCCCTCGGTGACAAGCATGCCACCAGCCGTGCAGTATAACCCCAGCACTTGGCAAAAGGAGCCACCCTGTCCTCCTTGCTCCCTGGAAAAAAAGTATCAGGCAAAGTGTCCCCTGGACACAGCCTGACCTACAGATGTGCACCATCAGGGACAAAACAGGCAGAAAAGGGTACACTTACAATAGGAATCCATTTCCAAGATGGCTTCCTTGGCCTGGAAGGGAAGGAAACCCACCTAGTTACACTGTGCTATGTGCTGTGCTTCCCTTAGTCCATAGGACTTGCTCTTGCTGCTCCAGGACACCCACAGTGCCCCGAGGTACCCACTGTACTGATGCCTGCTGCCCAGAAGAACCAGCATCCAGAGTTGAGCCTCAGCAGGCCCTTCAGAGCCGGCTCTGAGGGAAACCCTCTCCCTGCATCCCCTCAGGAGCCAGGGAGGGGGCCACCTGGGAACTCACCTTCTGGGGGATGGTGGCATGGTGGTTCTCCAGGATGAGCCTCTTGATATGGTGGGTCCACTTCCGTTTCTCCTCCACTGTTTTGGCCTGAGAGGACCCAAAGCAAAAGAACCCCAGCAGTCATCATTACAAGGCCTGAAGCCATCAGCACGGACTGTGTTTTGGCTGAGGGGGGAAGAGGTGGACAGAGGGTTGTGTTGGGGCCTCAGTGAAGTTGCCTTGACTCCTTACCACGCCCTGAGGAGCACATGCAATTATCTCTATTTTATAGATGGAGATGCTGAGGCTAGTGCAGCTCAGTGACAGGGGAGCCGGGCTTCACTCACAGGTGTGTTTGATTCCAAAGTCCCTGTTGCGGCCTTGCAAAGACAACCCCAGGCCCGCTCCTCACCTGGATGCTGTACTGCTGCTTGCTGTGCTTGTAGTGGGTGACGGTGAAGCACAGGGAGTCTCTGGTACTTTCGATTAGCATCAGGGAAGAGCACTGGGGGTGGAGGGAGAGGGCAAGCAAGCACATGAAGGAGGGGCTCAGCTGAGCTGGGGCATGGGGCCCATCCCCACCAGACCACCTGGGGAAAGCAGGGAGGGTATTCTCAGAACATTGGGGGCTGGGGAAGCAGGACAGGGAGATCAGCCCAGTTCCACGGGAGGCTTGGTTACCGGGATGTGCCCCTTGTAGACAAAGTGGTCGCCCCGCTTCTTGGTGATGAGCAGTGCTTTGTCAAAGAGGAAGAAGGTCCTCTCGTTGCGTACGCGGTGCACACGGAACGTGCCCTCCAGGACAAGCTCCCCATAGATGGTCAGGTCTGGCCCCTTCCAGTTGATGAGCAGTGATTGAATCTCCTGCACAGAGAAAGCCCCAACCCCAGGGTCAGGCTGCTAATGACCCTGCTGGGGACCACATAGGGCTCCAAGGGACTCACACAGAGCCAGCTGTATCCTGGATCCCCCAGAGACATTCTGCCCAAGGGCTCCCCCAGGAGACACCTGCCCCACATGGGACCACCACCCCTCAGCTCATCCTCCCCTAAGAGCAGCCTTGCCCTGCCCACCAGCCCCTGGGTCTCCTTCCAGCCGCCCAGCCCAGCAGCACCTGGAGCCTGACTGCATGCTCATGCCTTCTCTTCATGTCATTGATGTACCACGCCACACAGGTCATGGTGTCAATGGCATCCTCTACCACCTCAAAGCCATCCTCTTCCTTGTCAAAATGCTTGGCAATTTCCTGTGCAGGAGACAGAGGCTTAGGAAACCTAGACTCAAGGGCCCAGCACGCGCAAGCGCACGCGCGCGCACACGCACACGCACACACACACACACCCCCCCGCCAGGGCCCTTTTGCACCCTGCCCCCATATCCCCAGGAGGATTTCTGGGGCTACCTGGAGCAGCAGGTGGTACTTGAGGATGCGCTGGACTGGCTTCAGCAGGTAGGAGCCCAAAGGCAGTGAGTGCTGCAGCAGCTCCTGCCGGTCCCGGAAGAACTTGGCCTGCTGCTTGTCCCGCATGCATTCTGTTAGGGCGGCCACAGAGCTGGGGGTGGGAGAGGGTTGTCACCACTGGGGCAGGCTGGGGAGCGGGGGTATAATGGACTCACTAAATAGCTCTGCCTCTTCTCCCCACCCCAATTACTCACTTGGGGTAGTTGTTGCAATACTGGGTGTAGATATCAAACTCTTGGCTCTAGAAGAGATCAAAAATAGCGATTTCAGGGAAGCTCTCATTTAGCTGTAAACATGATTGTACCAAAGACAGACCCCTGGCCCCTAGAGCATACTCTGCCCACCCTGCCCCACCCCCTGGTAACTGCGGGCCCATCTTTGTACCCATTTGTCTAGGACATCCTTTCCACCCAGCAGCCCCTGGTTCTACCCCAGAACACACTTCCCATTCCAGGCAGGGCACCCGGCACTTCCGCTGGAGAGGGACCCTCAGGACTCGGATGTCCTCTTAAGCACACTATACTGGGAGTTCTTGTTCCTCTGAGCTCCCAGGAAGATGGGAAAAGGGGCAAGGACCCAGCCTTCTTACCCTTTCCACAAAGCAGCTGGCCACAGCCACGGGGTCATTATTGCAACTGTCCAGGTCTCTGAGTAGCTGGCTAGGTGAGGGGAGATTGGCCATCAGACCCTGACCAGCTGCAGCCTCCCGGCCAGCCATCTGCCCTCCCCACCTCTTTGTGCCCAGACACGTGCCAGCCCTGCTGTCATGCTCAAGAGTTGGGGCTTCTACCCGCAGAGCAAGCCCTGCCCCATAGCAGCCACCACAGAAAACATCGAGCACCACTGTAGAGAGGGAGGGAGAGCTCCGTGCTCACAAGCTGGGGAAGAAAAGGAGATACCAGTACCCACCTTGGGAGGGGACACAGCTCCTCTGTGGGCAAGAGTCAAACACATAAAAGCAAAGATTAAAGGCAGAAGGAAAGAGAAGGGGCTTGCAAAGGAACCAAGACCCCTAGTTCAGAAAGATGCAGGAAAGGATGAAAGGTGGGGTGAGTCCCTGTGTCTCCTTTTCTTAGACATAGAAATCGTAGGAAGCCTCAGAAACAGTGCTCCCCTGCCTCTTCCCTCTGCGCTCCTCCTCTTTTCCCAACCTTCCCCTCCCCCTAAACCAGCCTAGGCCTCACCTTCGCCCTGCCCTCTAAGACGGACATAGCAGGAAGTCCCTCTGGTCATCATAAGGTGCCCAGGGTAAGGTTCACCTGGCCTATCACCACTCTCCCCTCAAGCTCTGCTTCTCCTGACCCAGCTCCCTGCTCTGGGAAGTCTGTGGTCCGAGGTAGTACACTCAGGCCTAGAGAAGCCCCTCTGCCTGAGGCAGGCCCTCACCAAGCTGTGCTCAGCCTTCCCTATCATGTCTTCCCTGTGCTGTACATTCCACTAGTGGGTCAGATCATCTCCGCGGAACCCTGACTTCTCAGGGGGGCAGTGAGCAGATAGGGAAGAAATTAAGAGATACACAAGTGAGGAAGGAAGATGAGAGAGACAAAGGAGCCACCCACAGGTGAGAGCACCAGTGTGCCAAGAGTCCAGCAGTCCCCTGAGAGGGCACTGGCCCAGCTGGACCCACAGGCACATGCCCTCAAATTATGTCCGTCTTCCTCCCCACCCCATGTGACAGAAAGCACTTCAACCCATGTGCCCAGCTGGTGTCCTCTTCTCTTTCAAGGAACTAACCATACCACTAGACAGGGACAGACCACCCTTTGCCATCCCCTCAGAGGCCAGCCCAGCCCACACACCATAGCAGGAGTCAGGGGCATCCAGGCTCCTCCCTAGGACCTGCAGTGGGCCTCACAGGCAGAACCTGGTGCATCTCAGTCTCACCCACATAACAGACCTGTTCAGTGCATAGATGTTTTCTATGTTCCCAAAGAGCGCACTGACTTGTTCTGGCTTCAGCAGCCCGGGCGTGTCAATGATCTTCAGGAGGTAGTCCTGTGTGGAGAGTGGAGGTCAGCACCTCAGGGTCCGGCCCCTCCTGGCTCCATCCTGTCCCCCTCCCCCAACCAGCCACACCTTTTGTCTCTGACTGCATTTTACAGCTAGCAATGCAATTTCACGGATGTCATCCACCTTCCTAGAGAGGCTGAGGGCCTTTCTCAGTGGCAGCCCCACATCCGCCTTTTCCTATGTGCCTAGTAGTGGGAAGCGCTTCATCTACATTAGCCCATTTAATCCTCACAGCAGCCTTGCAAGGTAGGTGTGTCTTCATTTTACAGATGAGGAAAACTGAGGCTCAGGGGTTATGCAACGACCCAAGACCCCATAGCCAGGAAACAAGAGAGCAGAGATCTGGATGCCAAAGGGGCTGGTCCAGAGCCAGTTTCTTCACTGTGTCCATTCTCCTCTGAGTGCAACCTCTCTAATGGTTGTCCCCCTCCCAGCCAGGCTCCATCCCCACTCCCTGTGGATCTGCAGGAAGTTCTATTGGCACAAGCTACTGACTGGACACCCAAAGTCTTAAGGAAGTGTGAGGAGTTAACAAGGGCAGGTAAACAAGAGCTGTTGACCCGAGGCCTCCACACTACTCCATGCAAAGCACATCTTCCAAGACAAATGTGTCAAGGAGAACTTTGCTTCCCAGGATGAAAATAGGTTTATACAAGAGAGCTGGGCCACCAGAGGCTAGAGTCCCTGAGTCCTGTGAGGAGAGATGGGTAGCCCCCTTCTACTCTCAGCCCTGAAGCTCCGGGGGTGCAGACGGATGGACACTGACCTCGACAATGCTGCGAAGGTCCTGCACGTACATCCGCTCCGTTTCTACAATCTCCCGCACCACTCGGCCCAGGTAGCTGAGCTTGTGCCCTGCCATGGTCCGGCTGTTGAATGGGGAGAGAGGCCCCTTCATGTTCAGCCAGCTGCTGGAGTTGTTGTTGCTGTTGGGGGGTTGCCAGCTGCGTGGGGATCCTGTCCCATTCTTCGCTGAAGCCTCAGAGCCATTAGGCTCCTCCATGGTACCACAGCTGTCCCGGGAGGAGCCTGACGAGGAGGTGGTAGAGGTCAGGCTCATGGGTCGCTCTTGGCTGCCATCTTGGCAGAGGGAGGCAGAGACAGGCATCCTGGCATCGCTGCCTAGGGCGGGCACCCCAGGGAGATTCTGGAGCAAAACAGACAGGCAAAAGGTCAAAACTCTGAATCCTAACGAAAGACCTGCCCCTAAGACTCTGCGAGCATCTCCAAGGATGCCCAAGTCACATTCCTGCCTGATTCTAACTGCCCCATCTCTATCCCTTCCAGGATGGAGGAACGGTGAACCACACCCAGGGAAAATAAAGGGCTCAGACTCGAGGCCCCCAGAAATCAGAGAGGACGTCTTTGCCAACATGGTGGTTAGGGTGCCTTCGGATGGAATTCAAAGCCCAGCCCCACTGCTCAGACAAAGTACTTAGGCTCTCAGAGCTTCCTCACTTGTAAAATGAAGATAGGTACCATTTCCTCCGAAGGCTGTGAGAGGATGAAGTGACCTGCTGCACAGAATGCCCTGACAGTGGTGCCAGGCACAGGTAAGTGCTTCATAAACAATCATCACAGTAATGATAATGGTAGTTGTCAAAAAAGCATTTCCCAAGTGCCGACCTCTCAAGGCCTGTGCTGGGGCCACAGCTCAGGGACAGGCAAAGACCTGGCTTTTACGGTCTGAGTCAACACACACTGCAGGCAATATAACATCATTCCCTCCATTGCCGTTGAGTTGTTTCCAACTCATAGTGATCCTATAGGAGAGGGCAGACCTGCCCCATAGGGTTTCCAAGTGGCTGGTGGATGTGAACTATCGACCTTTTGGTTAGCAGCCAAGCTCCTAACCACTATACCACCAGAGCTATCCTCTATAGGAGTGCAAAATCTCTGGGGCACCAGTGGCTTCACCAAAAACCTGAAAGCTTCCAGATACTGAAGGGGGAAGGCAGAGGTGATGGTGGCAAGGCTGAGCCAAGCATTACCCATGCCCCTACCCCCGGCACCTATACGTATCCAGGTTCAGGCCCCTGACTCACCCCAGGCTCCTAAGAAGGGGCAGGGCCCAGGCACAGGAAATTCCCCAGGGCTGAGCCACCTGTGAGTCTGGCAAACTCTCCTCAGCACAGCTGAAATAGGGCAGCAGAGAAAGCCAGAAGCTGCTCCCAGGTGAGGCAAACTGCCTCAAGGTGGACTTTATTCCCTGAACAGATGGGGCAGCTCATAGGCAGGCCTACCTGGAGCAGCAAGTGAGGGAGGGTCAGAGCCACCCCCATCTCAAAGGAACAGAGTTCACCCACACCACTTTCTAGAATGTACATTTGATCACTATTCCCATGGGGAAAAAGATGCCTGGGCATCGCTCTCACCCCCACTGCCCCACAGCCTTCCACCCCTAGCTCTGGAGTTCGGAAGCTACACAGCCAAAGATTTGGCCAAAAGTCTGAAGCTGAAACTACCAGAAGGATCTAGAAGGCACCATCACTCCAGTAGGCTTGGCACTGCCCCTCCACGGTTTTCTGTGCCTTTGTCCCAACCTGGAATCCAGTACTCCTTGGCCTCAGGCTTTTGCAAATATTGTTCCCTTTGCCTGGACGTTGTTTCCTTCCCACTCATCCCATGGTGTACCATCCCCCAACTGGTGTAACTTCTACCCATCCTTCAGGTCTTGGATTAGAAGCCACTCCCTCTAGGAACCTGTCTATATCCTCTAAACCTGGGGTCCCCTTCCATGTACTTTTATAGCATCCAGGGTTACCTCTATTGTGGTACTCACTGTATGACACTGTGACCAGTTTGAGACCCTCTGCCCTAGACTGTAAGTTACTAAAGGGCAAGGACCATGTATCAACAGTATATATCAAGGGCATAACATTCCCTAACACGATTTAACAAATGAATAACTAGTAAACTGATTTGCTACCGAGCTAAACCAACCAAACCAAACCAAATCTGGTTGCTGTGGAGTCGATTCCAACTCATAGCAACCCCACAGGACAGAGTAGAACTGCCCCATAGGGTTTCCAAGGAGCACCTGGTAGATTCAACCCGTCAACTTCTTGGTTAGCAGCTGAACTCTTAACCACTACATCACCAGGGTTTCCACTGAGCTAAAAGTCAGACTTATTTATCCTTTGTCATCAAAGACCCTCTCAACCACAGCACTTCATCACTCCAGGTCTCAGTTGGAAAGCGGTCACCTCTGAGGTGCTATATATGAACCTCTCATTTCGCAGAGGAGCCCTGGTGATGCAGTGGTTAAGAGCTCGGCTGCTAACCAAAAGGGCCGGCAATTCGAATCCAACAGCTGCTCCTTGGAAACCCTATGGGGCAGTTTTACTCTGTCCTATAGGGTCACTATGAGTCAAAATCAACTCGATGGCAATGGGTTTGATTTTTGGTTTGTCATTTTACAGAGAAGGGCGCAGAGGCCTGCAGCACCCACAGCCCCTTGGCTGGAAGGCGGTGGCACTGGGCCCAGTACAATGTCCCCCCACAGCCCAAGGCAGGGAGGATTGACAGGAGCATCTTGGTGAAGCTCTGAGCATTTCTTAGGACAGCCCCTGGGGAAACGTAGCACTGCTGCCTTTTCCTCCCTCCTCAAAAGAGCCTTGAAAATCAATCAGCTGTGCCTTTCTACAGAACCGGTGGGCAGGGTGAACTCCACGTCCTTACAGCACAAAGACCCAAGCTCTGCCCCAGCCCTTAACCCCTAGCCCTGTGGGACTCTTCAATGCCCTTCAAAGCCCCGTGCACAGTGAGACACCTTTTCCCCCTTATTCTCCCTGTCAGTCCCACTGGAACAATGAGGCAGGGATTTAGGGCCTAAGACCTTTCCCAAATTGGACAGAGGGCAGTCAGCTCCTATGGGGAGGCTAAATGGAAAAGGCTCAAGTCCCAAGTGGATTTCACAGCCAGCCAGGCCACAGGTCACTTAATTCTTAAAGCAAAGAATTAGTCACAGCCCTCACTCACCCCACCCCCGCACCATTAGGGTGATTTATCTCTAAAGGGTACCTTCCAAGGGTCACTCTTTGGGCACCCACTTGGAGAGGGTAGCAATATAAGCACAACCTGAGCCCAGAAGGCCCAGAAGCTAGAACGCCTTTCCTACTTGGAGAAGTTTTCTCTGGTTGAACATAGCCGCCTTCTTCAGGAGACTGTCTGCCAAACCAAGCTCACATTTTCAAAGTAGTGTCCATGCCCAAATCCTCCCAGCACTAAAACAAAACAGAATAGCCAACAGCTAAAACGTCACAGGTGCCAGGCACTGCCTGTTCTAAGTACTTTATATGTATTAAGTCGCATATCTCTTGGAACAATTCTATCAGATAGGTACTATTATTATCCCCATTTAACAGATGCAGAAACTGAGGCACAGAATGGTGGAATAACTTGGCCAAGGCCACAGAAGTAGTAAGTGGTGGAGCCTGGATTTGAACTCAGGCGCTCTGGCTCCAGAGTCCATGCTCTTCCGCCTCACTCCTCCCTAATGGATTTCAGAGCAGCTGGGGCCACACAAGCAAAGGATTAGTCAGGGCTAATGGAGGTTTCGGTTTTGCCTCACATAAACTGTTAGGGGGGGCATATTAAGACTTGAAAGATCAAGGATGATTAACATGACACTTCATTTACCCCACAAGGGCTGAGGAAGGCACAAAGGCAAAGGACTGAGAGTTAAGATTCCTTATGGCTACTTCTGGACCTGGATTATGTGACCTGCAGTCATTCACTCTCCCCTCAGAACAACACAGTAAATTAAAAGATTCCAGGCCATGGAAAGCAGAAAGGAGAAGGGAAAAAGCATGAGGTCACCAGGATGGGACTGTAAATTCCTCAGATGATGAGAGACAAGCCCTACAGTTAACAAGAGACCCAGATCACAAGGCTCTCTCAACTGGGGCAAGAGGACTCCCTGGAAAAGGACCTAGAGGCCAAGAAAGGCAGGCATGAGAGCAAATGGGGCAGGGAGTGCAAACAAGCGGGGACTGTTAATAGACACCATCTAATGGCAACAGAAAAAAAAAATCACATTCAATTTCAGCACACTCTGGCCCTAAAAGACTGATTCAAACCATCACTGTGTGTATAGCTCAGACTCTCACAGAGATGCTAAAGTAGCTGCCCACAGGTTCCCTAGGTAGGGGCAACCTTTCCTTCCTATCCAATGAGCATTACCCATAGTATAAGACTTATCCCAAAGTCAGAATTAGAACTCAGGTTCTAATCCTGGGCTCCTGCTTATCCAGCAGACAGTGTCTTCCAAGATGAGTTTAAGACACTGTCTGCTGGAGAAGTAGGAGCCCAGAAAAGGAGGTGAGAAGCCGTGATGAGGCAGACCCTCAAGCCAGATACCCATGCCCACCCCCTCCTACCTCAGTTTCCCTAAATATTCCCAGGCCATGGTCTTTTTCATCTTTCAACATGAAAGAATCAATCCAATCAATCATTAATCAGTGCTCTGGAAAACTCCATGTCCTCAAGTCCCATATCTGTGAAGCCCTCTTTGGCAAGATCCCATAAGATCTTTTTTTGGATGGGCCTAAGCAGCAGCTCTACTCTGTCTTATTGGTCTCTATGAGTCGGAATCAACAGCACCCAACGACAAGAAGCAGCAGCTCAGACATACATCTTTAAAGGCCCTCGGAGTATGGAAGGAAGAGAGACCAGTTTTTTGTTTTTTTGTTTTAATCTTCCTCTTAGTTTAAACAAAATCCACACCCTTCCTCTACCCATACCTCTGCAGGTTAGGAGACTCCACCTCCCCAAGACCTTCCCTGAATATCCTGAGGCAGACAGGCCTAGGCAGGTACAGCGGGCACCTTGGATTGCCAGCACAGCTTACTGGGCCAAAGTTCTGCATCCTTTCTCTCCACCTGCCTCAGCACCTTGCACAGTCTGACCCTGCTCCTGCCTCCAACAGAAGAAAAAGGCAGCCCAAATCTACAATAGAGTATTCTGCCCTCAGGCCTCTTGTCACTGAGGGTCCCTCTCCTCCCACCATTCCTTCAGAAAGGATCATTCCAGGGGGGGCACTTACCCCCAGCTCGAAGGCCGAGAGGAATTCGCCTTGTGAAGCACCTTGGCCTCTCTGGTCCTAGAAATCCCCAGGAATCAGCAACACTCCTTCTGGCCCTCCCAAGCCAGAGAGCCCAGAAGAAGGCAGGAGAACAGAGAAGGACATCTGTTGGTGAATC